AATATAGAAAGTGAAATAACTGTACATTTCTACTACCGACCGTAGCTGCTACCTTGATGTGGTGGTCGGGCTTGCATATCATGATGGCCCAACCGAGCTATATTGGCTGAAGGTTCTACCATGCCAGGCAGATCGATTGGAGAACGATGAGACCAAAAGCAGCTACCCAAGGTCTGAGGGTGAAGTCGTATTGCTGACCGTAGAGGGGTGTGACAGCAGTAAACTGTTTCCCTCGGACAACCAGCATCTGCAGCGATGCTGCCTTTTCACAAGGAAAGAAGGGGTTAGAATAGGTGGACCCAAAAAATGTCACACTTCACCTTACCTCACGAATTTCCGTCTCCGGTGGTAGGGTTTTTTAAACAAGAGCAGAGCTAATACTTTAAAAGTTCCCACAAAAAGACCGTGCGTGACCCGCCTCAAGTAGTTGTCCGTTGGGCTCTGGGATCACGCTCTCAGGTCGCTAAGACCAACACTAATCTACCTTGCTTTTCAGATTCCTCAAGAAATACCCTCCCACAGTGTGGGCAGCCTGGAAGTGACATCAGCCCTCATACCCGTAACAGCGCGCGAGACCAAATTGGTCACAAAAAAATCCTTCCTGGCTGTACATTTCTAGTTGAAACAATTGAAATAGACAATGCTAATTAATAATAAATCTTCTGTCATGTAAACAAAAGTCATTGTTTACTGTCGGTCAGTGGAAATACTAATTTACATAATTAGTGAGAAATATGAATACTATAACATAGTTAATAACTAAATTGCAATAAACTGTCGGACATACTTTCTAGTGGAGGCATTTTCACATCCAATGGAGGCATTCCAGGTAATGTGATTACTGTGGACGTAGGTAGATTATCAGTGACAGGATGAAAATATTGAGCACTTGACATATGTGGTATATTAAATTGTGAATATTGAGGAGTATTAACAACATTTTTTGTCGATTCAAAAGAAATCAATGGTGCATCTGACGGGCAGACAGGAACACCACCACCGACAACAGATGGAGAATTTTGTGACGGCATACTAAACATATTTGTTAATCCAGGTGGAAGAGGTGCAGGAGGTGCAATAGTTGAATTTTGTGTAAATGCTGAAGGTGAAACAGAAGTGTAAGCATGATCAGAATGATCTATCGGATTGATTGGGACTTGAGTTGGATAAGTAGCTGGTAGTGGCGCCGGTGGAAGTGATGGCGGGGGTTGCATTGATGAAGAAACTAGAGGAACCTACAAGAAAAGCAAAACAATGGAGCTTATGTTTGATTGTATTTCTTTTTAAAAATACATGTAACTGAGGAGAAAGTTACTTAGGTAGGACAGATCGCCGATTGGAAGACAGGATAGGGGAACATATTCCAAAATGGTTAATCAAATCCATGATTCATCAACCTAGCCCGTCATCTCAAGATAGATCAAGAAACCTAGCCTCGTCCATTGCAAAACATCTAATGACGAGTGGTCATCAAATTGACCCAAAATCAGCCTTCAGAGTTGTGACATGTCATCAAAACCCACACACACTCAAACTACTCGAAGCTATCTTGATTGGTCGGAAAAGCCCAACTTTATGTGTTCAAAAACAACTGTATGTTGACCTTTGTTTACCATGGTTCTAGTGAGTGAATGTCATGTTAAATAAGAAATTTTGACCTTATCTTCAAAACTATATTTACACAAATAACATGATGATTTCAAATGTGTAAAAACGCAAACCTCCAAAACTGTGCCTCAAAATATCGTAACAGTGCTCACTAGTGACTAGCTTCGTGAGGAAATTCTCGGAGTTCTATTTGAGAAGACGTGACCAGTGGAGTTCAACCCTGTCGGGTGTAGGCAGTAACTACCAAAGACAAATGGGTGAGGTCGCGCAAAATCCCTAGATCAATCAGAGTTAGACATTAACACCGTTGGATGCCGGCCCAGTGGTCCGATGGTAAGGCGTTCGCCTACAATGCCAAAGGTCCCGTGTTCGAATCCTGCGAGGAGCAGGAGTCGTGGGTGCGCACTGCTGAGTCCCATACTAGGACGAAACGGCCGTCCAGTGCTTGCAGGTTTCTAATGGTGGTCTACCAATGATTGATTGGTGATTTCAAATGTGTAAATAACATGTTGCTTGTATGTGACTGACGAGAAAGCACGAAATGGTACTTACTATATCACAAAATATGTCTTCTCATTTCTCTGTTCAAAAAAACGTTTAACAAAAAGGATTGTGTTGTCTACTTGCTATGGTACCGTCTAATAAATCGTCAGGATACTGATGCATACATAGTTTTAATATGATGCCTCAAAATTAGGCTGAACAAGTCAGCTTCAAATTAATTGGAAAATAAGTGGCCAGTGAACTGATTTCCTTCAACACCTCGCCCTATGATACTTTATCAAGTTTTATGTTCATTATTCTGTATACAAGCGTGTGATTTTGTTACATGAAAAACTACCCAAATCGATAATCGTCTTATCTATTATTTCTAATTATTTGTAGGCCTGAGTTAACAGTAATATCTCACTAATCACTAGTGCGTAGAAATTATTTTTCTACGGTTGACAAAAACGACATTACTAATGTTATAAATACAGCATTAATTCTGGCTGAACGGTGGACTGGATAATCACAGTACTTGGATTGTATTATGCAGTGAGATTATTGGCTGATATAAACCTCAGTTGTTTTAATTTGCAAAACTAATTTAGACCACTAACTCCCCCACAAACTATGAGTTCTTCAACAGTGTACAGACTAGAAACAATAAAATGACAGATTTTATATGTATGCTCTTGATATATCCACACTCACCTCAGCAAATGCATTATTCCATTGTGTATTGTTTGATGTATATGCAGGTGGAGGATAACTAGGAGGAGCAACTCCATTGGTAATTTCATTTGATGATATTGATACAGGCGGTAGCTTTGAGTCACCATTGGTTGATGATTTCATTGATTCCTGTGGATGATTTGATACATTATTCGATAATTGTGAAGAAGAAGATTCCGGTGATGCTAATGCAGCTGTTGGAATACGATGAAGATAACCATAACCAATATCACAACCGAGTAAACCATTCCCACCCCAATTCGAATCAGGTTTAAGGTGTACTTCACGACATGAATCCAATTGAGAATTATAAACATATAATTGAATTACATGTCCATCAGAAGAATCGATTAACTCGAAAAAATCATCTCTCTTGATAGATAAATAAATTAATGTAAAGAATAAATTGAAAGATACAATATAAACTCATCAAAAAGAAGGCTTTTTCTGTATTGAATAAAAAAATATTTACTGATTGATTGCATAAACAAAACTTCTGGGTTTTAGAAAAAAAAGGTGAAATTTGTTTTTGTTTTTTTAACATGTATTGTAGTGAACGAGAACACAGGTGGGGCAACCGGATTGCATTTAAATAAAATTACAGAGTTACTCAGTAAAATAGGAAAAAACCATATCGTAAATCGTTCATTCGCAAAATATCAGTTCATCCTATCGAACTGGACTGTTCCTGTTGCAAAACATCAATCCATTGTCACTATTCATGCGTTTCATACAAATTCCATTGTGTTCCCACTCTTCATTTCTTGATCTTCACGTCATATACTACTTATAAGTAGCTCACACCACAGTATTATCTGTCCCGAAGATATATTCTACATATAAACAATGTGAAGTCACAGTTTTTTAATAAATTTGTGACAAGATTATTGTAAGACACTAACATGTAGTTCAGGTTGATGCAAAAGCTGTCATGATACATGCCAATTTGACATATAATCATCGCTAAAGGAAACAAATGCTGTGATATATTCGATAACTGTTGGTTAGCTGTTATGTTTGATTACTAAACACATAAAATCAGTTGCATTACTGTAGATGCATACCTCTTAGATCTTCAGATCATACCTTTGATGCAGTGAGCTAATCCTTTGTTCTGAAATTATATTCCCTATACCATAATCATTTTTACTACCAGTGAGATACTACTAAATACCACTTCTACTACTTCCATGTTGATAAAGCTGTTTTGATATGGTATAATAAAAACTGAAACGAGTTTTACATTACTTGATTGTATTAATACTAAAATAAGCGTCGATAATCCTGAAATATCTTAACAATATATCTATTTTTTTTTAATCAGCTGACAGCAGAAGGATAAACTTTTTGTCTGTAATTGATGTTGACAGAATCAACACTAGGAGTAATTTTATCGTTAAAGTCAAAACATTTTAGACAGATGTTTCCTTTTTTTAAACTCTAAAGATGAATTAATGCGCTTTACTTTCATTTTGTCATAATGTAGTCGTCAAATGATGACTCTGTGACTGAACAGCAGCTACGTTGGTGGTGTGAATGTGTTAGCTAATAAAAACGAACAGAAAATTATGTGCATTTTGTCATATAACATATAAATACTGATTAGATTGATAGCATGATTTTGATCGGAGTTGGTTTTACTATATGACGAGAGATTTTAGTTATCTTGGTTGAGTATTTAGTAATAGATCAGAGCAATTATATACGTCATAGAGTTGTTTTCAACTATCGATCTAGGAAACAGACATCACGTCAGTGTGTCTAGGAATATATTTAACTTTACACAACAGTCAGTCAGTCAGTTGCAACGTAGAACTTCGTACGTATGTACATAAGTTCATGTAGCTATACCACATTAGCACAAAGACGAAAATGTCAAATCAAATCCCATAGTGATAAAGATAGTAGAGGTATTAATATTCAAGAAGTATAATTCAGCGAGATAAGGTTATAAAGACAAAGATAGAGGTGCTGACGAATCCAAAAGATTAGGATTTGAGAGAGCTCAACGAATGGATGCACTTGCGCCATTGCAAACGATTTTGAGCCATATCGTTCAAGGTCTCTAACCATTGGTGACTATCGTCTCGCGGACCCACTTTACACAACACAAGTCATTCGGTTTAAAACAATCAGTTTGTATGTCAGGGTTACCAGATGCTGTGTTATTTTACTACTCTGCTTTGATTTATTGTACTTTCATCCAGTAGCCAGACCAATAAGATGTCATAGATTGTGAAAGGTTAGCCTTCACAATAGGATTAAGAAACATGGAGTGATTAAATATAATTGTGGAGAATGATTCACTTGCACTGGAACACAAGTATTATAACTTATTGTATTCTATATCGTCTGAATTAGTTTTTTAGTTATGTATTTTATGTATACACCGCACTGTAAGCTACAAGTGGGAAATTTTCACTATTCACAAATCTACTACTAATGGTAAGTAATACAGTTATTACTAACTGTAATACAAATCGTGAAAAGAAAACATATATATAGGGGCTGAGGTAGACATGTTTATATATACATATATATATATATATATATATATATATATGAGATTACTAAAGGGATTATTCTTTATTAATAAAGTGCGTGAGAATTTTCTAACTATAACTAATGAGTGGGAAAGTGATCGATGAATAATATCGAGTTTTAACAAATATATAATATGAAGGCAATATTGATTCAGACGAATGTACTTTATCCTAAACCAAGAAGTTTCCACTGGTAGACAACATGAACGAAATACTAAACAAAACTAGAATAGTACTCCATTTTAACATTAGTTACGTTAAGAAATTTAGAAATACAGAGTGTGTTGGTTTTGTAATGTAACGTCAATAATAGAATCATGAAAACTTTCAAAGATTGGTAATACTCGGGATCAAGGAAGCAAAAATACATTTAAAGACATAATGTTAACCGTGAAGAGTTTAAAGATGGAAACAATAACATAGCACGTTGATAATGTACATAGTTATGCAACGATTCATGAGCATTATATCTACCATGCAAATATTGCAACTTCACAACTGAGACTGAAGTTGATTGCTCTAGCCTAGTCATCATCAAGAATAAACTTACAAGTCTAGCTCACATTGACACTTTGTGTAAACCCAGAGGAGAACAATCGTGTATTGAAGCCAAAGTAGGGGGGGGCGGTAAAGCAGAGTAAAGTTAAACACTTTAACTACCTAGTTATATCATTCCATGTATTAAGAATATCAAAACTGTGATTTATAACTTCAGTCACATACTAAATTGTGTCATGAGGAAGATTTTAAAAGTCAGTTTGCGAATTGTCAAGTTGAAGAAATTCATTGCTAATCGATAGATGACACAATCCGGTCACGTGATAATCGCTTGTGAGACCAATCAATTGACATATGTCCGTAATCGCATTGATAGCAGATGATAGGTCATTCGCATTTCAATTAAGTAGGACCTTTTTCGTTGTCATAATTACACTGAATTAAAAACCCGAGAAAGTAATAAATAATATGACATGTACGAATGAACTTTGATAGTCAAATGCTAGATTTGATTTGTGGCCGAGTAATTTAATGAACTTGTGTTTCACATAACATTTGGTCGTGTTTAATATTTTGCATAGGACTTTGTCATTTTACTGAGTAATTAGAACGTGTTCTATAGGCCTGTGATGTGTCTTATGATGTGAGTTTATTTAGAGAGGCCTTTGTCAACAAGTTGATCATCTTGTATAACCGAATAGTAACACTTGTCTTAAGAAAAAATTAAAATTAAAGTCGAATATTTAGATATTTCACTTCATAAATGATTTGATCAACAGCATAAATATAAAACGCACATAGTAATTTATACAACAAAAGACATAGAAAACAAGCTTACATTATTTAATACAGAATTTGCGCCAATTATATAATCTGTATATGGTTTAAGTCCGGCCAAATCCGCTGGTGATTTAGGCTCTACACTTAATACATGCCATACATTTTCATTAGCTCTTTCAAATGAACAATATCGAATACTGACACCCATCAAACCTTGACCACCCCAATGATTGTTAGGTATGAGAGTTACTTCACGACAAGATTGTGATTTAGTTGAATAGACAAGTAGGCGAACAGGTTTATCTTTACTGGCTTGTAATAAGTCTTTAATGGAATCATTATCTTCTTCCTGAATAAATAAATATATAAAATTGAGCAAATAATAAAAAGAGATAATGAAATTTATTTAGTTATGCACTTACATGTTTAAAATGTATACTTTTCTATTCAATAGGAATGTGGGTTTGTGGAATAATCACGATCTATGTTTAGAGATTTGGGTTCAAAATTAGTCACAGTGATCTAGGTGCATTTGTTATGAATGGAGCGCTAACTGACAGTTGAAGGAGTCACCATGTGAACTAATTCATCCGGAGCGTAGTACCACTGTAAGCTTTGATCAATGATACGCTTCAAATGATAAAACCAATTCAATATCTAATCGAACTGACAGAGAGGACAAAAAAATAGACTGAATTTATTCGAAGAAAACCCTAAATATCGATTTTAATCGTTCTGTGCCAAAATGAAAGAATAGTTTAAACAGTCTTTGTTAACATTTACTATCTATAAAATATTATAAAGTTTTAGTATCAGTGATTTAGCATTTTTAACTTTCATATACTTTAAGTTGTATTTTAAAATTACAACAAGTTACAGTTCAACTAGGAATGTAGGCGAATAGTAATGTGAGCTTTCGGATTACCATATTGAGACATTTTTTTCAGAAAATATGATGATCTCTTAAAATAACGTAAACAAACAAATACTAATTCTGCTACTTACCAGACGTTTATCGCCAATTGCAACAATGAAATCGAAAAATGCTTCCAAACCAGCTTGATGACCAGGTGAACCGTCTTGAACCTAGGTAAATTAGATTTTTCAACAGGATAAACATGTTTTCACAAAGACAACAATCAAAGATTACTTTGGTTTACTGACAATTGTCGTTTGTTCGAAAGTGGCTAAAATAAAGTACCGAAGGACGCGATTTATTTTCTAAGTATAGATTTATGTATTTAGCTATGAGCGCCATTAATTGTGTGATCGACTGTGATACTATCTGGCTGTTTATACAGAAGTACGAGTAGGATATATTAAGCCTATGACCTACTCGTTGAAGCTGAATGCTTTAATCACTAGGCTGCCTCACTTGTACCGAAATAAAGAACCATTAATTGTTTTCAGATTCGAAGTACAACAGAGACGTTTCCAAACATTCAAGTCTCAGCTATAATTTATAAGTGACAAACAGTTGATTTAACTTACATTTGATAAACGACTAAAGTAAGTCCGCAGTGGACTGCATAAAATAAATTGAGTAGCTCCAACGATCAGCTAATTATTAGAAGCCTATATCATCATCCGTTACATAACTGAGAGACTTTAAGACACTACTGATGTCCTAGAATTGCTCTAACCGACAACCATCTAGGAAAGTTGTAAATCATGCTTTTAACTGATTTATGTAATTCGATACATTGACGTTAGTCAACAGTCACTTTATCATTTGATTTATTTATTCAAAGACATACATTGGTACAAAGGGGAACAAAAATATATAGGCGCCGCATAATCAGTCAATCAGTTGCAACGTAGAACTTCGTACGTATGTACATAAGTTCATGTTGCCATACCACATTAGCACAGAGACGCAAATTTCAAATCAAATCCCATAAAGGTAGAGATAGTAGAGGTATTAACGGTAATGAAGAAGACTACGGTTTGAAGATATTATTCAAGAAGTGTAATTCAGTGAGATAAGGTTATAAAGACTAAGGTAGAGGTGCTGACGAATCCAGAAGATTAGAGGTTGTGAAAAATGAGTATAATAAAGATTATAAGAATGAACATAAATTAGGACACGAGAGTAACAATAACAATAACGATGATAATAACAATAATGCAAATGCATTTTATTACGACCCATATCTGATGTCTCAAGCCTCTGGGTTGTACCATTTCTAGGACCGCAACACATGAGTCATGAAAGACTAGAAGATGAGTTCTATTCAGCTTTCTTTCGCACCACAAAACCATGTCATACACTGATTTTCTGATCAGTCCTAAGGTCGAAAAATAATGGACGGTGTGTAATTCGCTGGGGAGATCGGTATCTCAAGATGGTGACACCGACTGAATCATTGTCACTATGCCAGAATTCACGTTGCCAAACCTCAGAATTACTAATATGGTGTTGCCACCTAATTTTAACAGTTTCGGAAATAATGATGATCAAACACGGGGAGTTACTGACCTTCCCCAACTAGGAAAGGTCAAGTTTCACAAACATAGAGCGAAACTGCTCTTAACAACTCATTGTAGACCCGATCCTTTACAGTTAGACAAACATCACGAAGGCTTCAAAGATAGCCCTGATTAGCATAATCACTCCGGTTTTCATCTTACGTAAACTATTCTCACCATTCACACCACTACCGGCACTTACACAACTACCCAGATACACAAACTTCTCGACTACTTCTACCCGTTCACTACCAAGATTAAGTGCATGTTCAGAGTCCTGTCAGTCTTTCTTAGTACTTAGTGTTTAGAAGGGGCAAAGCACATGCCTATGAACACTGATTGCCAAATAATTAGGTGCAAATCGCATGGCTTGAGAATTACCCCACAGTGAGACAAAATCGTCTGCATACCTAGAGTCGGAAAGTCTCTCTCCAGGTAAAAGATCCACATCATCAATCAATCAAATCAATAGCGACGTAGAAATTCGTACGCACGTACGTACGTACAGCAGTTCATTCTGCCATACCACATTAACATAGAGATATAATTGTCAATTCAAATCCAACAGTAGTAGAGGTTGTATAGGTATTAGCAGTAATCGGAGATTAGGGTTAGATATTATTCGAGAAGTAGAATCTAGTGAAATAAACTAAGAAAGTGATGACGAATTAAGAAGCTTAGAATTTAAGGGAACAGGAAGAATGAATGCACCTGTGCCTCCAGACAATTCAGGGTTACTGTCAGTCCCAAGCCCGGATAAAGGAGGAGGGTTGATATGTGTGTCGGCGACCCAATCCTGGAAAAAACTAACTTACCAAAAAAAGCTAACAAGAAAAAATAATTCACCAGTGGCAAAGTTGAAGAGTGATGAGGTTGGGAAAATTTGTTCAACCCAGCTGACTGAGTGAAGCGACGGAGAAAGGTGGCGTGATGGTTACACGGAGTAGACTGACGTCCCTCAGTAAGTTGTATGGAGTATGTAAAAACGCAGTGCTTAAAAGTGGGGAGCTCCACAAAGTCACCGGCGGCTTCACTCGCCATGTTTAGTTACTGCCAGTCTCTAGAAATCATTCAACTGGTGGTCGAAATCATCCATAATTACATACGGGCTGCGATCAGTCAAGACGAGATACTGATCACGTTTATTTGACTCCAGTACATGCCATCCTGCCTGGCCTGGATAAAACGAGTGTACAACTACATAATTTGCTGTAAACGTGACGCGTGGATAAATGCACGGTATTTATTCTGAACGAGAGGACGTGAACATCATGTTCAGCTACTCAAGGTGTCAGATTATTTGACAGGCTACAGCCCACATCAAATTTTAGCCTTCTATACTTGTTCAGCTGCTTGTTGCAGGTAACTGATGAAAATGAATCTTAATAATTAGTTTACTAAGATAAGTATCTGTATCCGTAGTTATGGTTCTAGGGGAAATATCTATAACTATATTAGAACAATGTGCAAATTATTCTAGCAAATGACAAGTTCTGAAACGAATGAATTTCGAACAATCACTTCTGACATTCTCTGAACGTCAGACATAAATATTTCGGTTCAGATAAGCTATTCGTAATACCTGTTTCATTAATGAGGACTCACGATGAGGTCCTACAAGTACAAGCAACTCAGCAGTCTACTTACCCGCAGTACGTGATAACCAGATGTTCCACCACCTGGGATGGGCGCACTTGCAGAACCGCCCATAATTTGATTACGAGTACAAAAACGAGTGCTGAGTTAATACAAAAAGCCCGGCCTAATTGGACACGTGAAACCCAACAAATAGTGCCAAGGAATGCTGTGATATCAAATTTATTTGTGATAATCTGTTGAATGCTAATTAACTTCTCAACGCTTGCGTCTTATCACTGGCATATGGTTTTAATAAAAGCAGTCAAGTCATTCTACTCCATTAACTGCAAGTTATTTCAAGGTTACAGCAACATTTTTCTAATCGACTGTGGATCATCAGTGTTGAGAACACATTTTTATGTCTACCATTAGTGTTACCGAACAGTACGGAAGCCTGAAAAATCATTCCTAATCGTGGAGACCTAATCGACTGACAAAGGTTAAGCCAATTTTTCCACAACGCCGAAACGAGACACGGCTCGGGAACAGAAATGTTGATACATATGAAAGAGTCCGTCGGGCAATTAAATTTCTGTGAGAGCCTTTTCCGAAAACTCATTCTGTCTAAGCGTTTCCGTTTGGTAAGAGCTGTTCTCATCTTACTCCATAGTAACGCCCAGGACGAACTAGCTACATTTGCTAACTAGGTTCCTGTGATCACCAGGCTATACAAAACCAGGTTGGACAAATCAGCCTTACAAATGTGTCTTTGAAACATTTCATTCCCCTTATCTGGTACCACCCAATATAATCTCGTTTTGATATCTGACGAACGAAAGAACCAGATTTGTAGAAGATGATTGACAATGAAGAGGAACAGTAAAGAGGTGAGTGTGACTAAAATTGATATCCCTGAAATTGTACCCTCTAGTTTAGACGATTGGTTCTATAAACAGTCCCTTGATTATTAGAGAAGTAGATCCACAAATTTCTTTATCTCTATCTTAGCATGTCGATCACTGTGCAACACAATAATAAATGTTTTGGAGAGGTCCTGAAGTCGTAGGTGCACATAAATCTTCTGATCGTAGTTGTCTCTACAATCAAGGAATGTTAGTAATTCGTTTTTGGCAGCAGATCTGACTGTACTGAAACCAAGATGTGCGTTAAGCAAATGAATGATAAGTCATATTTAATTCTGTTGGTGCAGAACCCTTAGCTAAGTCATGAGAAGACTAGTAATTGCAGAGAACTAGTGTGGATACCCATGCAGCATATGCAACAAAAACAATTTCAGACATCAGTATCAATGATGAACTTGAAAGTTTCAAAATAATTGTAATACTTTCTTATAATTTTAAGTGTGACTGAAAACTTTATTGTATTGCAAATTTTTATCAAAATAAATGTGGACATATCGTGGTTTGAGTGTTTATCAAATTTTGTTGTTGTTATTGGATAAATATATTTGTTTCACGTTAGCATTTGTTGAGGCTTGAGCTATTTTAGTTGTCTTTGGGTGGATAATAGTGGTCTAGTTCTATTATTTGCCATTTTTCTAATATGTAGCTCTCGGTGTAAACTTGAAAATACCTAAACTTTTTGAAATGCTATCAGTCTGGGACTTTATGGAGAAGATCGAGTTAATGGGGTACGCTTCTCATTGTATCAAGGCATCGGAAAACTCTGTTAAGTGGCACAGTTGTTTTCCACACAATCAAGGCTATCAAGAGGATATGATAGTTCTTACTCACTGGTGTAGATCACGTCTGAGCCTTTCAAGCATATTCAAGTTAGTGATATGAAAGGGGAAGTTCCTACAAAGAAACCGTTCGAATTCGTTAGGTGAATGAAACTACTTTATTCGTTGTTAGAACCGGAAAATAGCAAGAAAAATTAAAATCATATCTAAATGCAACTCTGAAAGCCTTTAATTTGTTGTCTCACTATTTGGTGTTTACCCAAGATTTGGCTAGTTGGTGGTTGCAGTAACAGAAGATTTCGATAAAGTGTTTTTTGGGTCAGATTAGCGGGTGATGATCAAGATTTCTAGAGGTTTGATATCATTACTCACAAACACCTTACTCATAAAGTCTATTGAAAAGGAAACACGTCGAGCTTCATCAGAAATGAAATCAAACACAAGAAACCCAATCGTTCAAATTAATCCTAACTACAAAACTTTTACCTCTGAAGGTAAGTAATGATGCAGTGAAATTCATAATTAGAAGCAGGTGTTGGTCAACTAATATCAGTTTGTTGGCGTCATATACAAATGGGAAAGCCAAAATAATAATAATAATAATAATAATAATTTATTCTCAAATAACAAACATGTTACAAGAGACATGCCAATTTACAGGCAAGATCAAAATGTTAAGATTAGCAACATATTTTTTTCTGAAAACGGTATAAAGTTACTGAAACATTTCACAAGATTCATTGTTTTCTTAAAGATGGAATGTACAAAGCGATCAATTGGCGCAAGTTACGAAGGTTGCGTTACGACAATCATCTTATGGACTGAGAAATGATTCATGGTACAGACAGGTTTTCATATAACAAGAATTGATGCGGTAAATGTACAAAAGTCTGGTTGATATTCGTCAGCTAATGATTTCACATGTTCTTGGCTAGGGTAACCAAGTCTACTGCAAATATCCAGACTAATATATGTGGATTGGAATAAGGTTCTGAAAAAAGAGGAATAAAGAAAACGGGACGAGGAGCAGAACAGAAAATATTCATGTTCAAAGCCGAACAACGGCTTCGCACATACGTTTATGGATAAAACAAAGGTATGTTTACCCAAACATTTTTAATATCAGAACACTTTACACCTGCGCTTATGTAGGTTAATGAAGACAATTCAGTAGTGAGATAACTAATGAGAAGTTAGTTGAAAGAATCGAGGAAATTCAGAAGAACCAAGTTGTTAGTAATAAAGTTGATTTACAAAATATAATAAAGAGGATCAGTGATATAATTTTTTGGTTTTATTTATTCTTTTTATTTTTAACTCTGAGGCTCAAGAAGTTATGAATGAGCTCTTTTTTAGTATAGTTGTCCAGACCAGCTTGTAATAGGATTTCTCGGTAGGAAGTAAAAACCAGCGCAAGGTTACAGACATGGGTTGTAGACGAGGTTAACTAGGAAAAGTAACATCAATATCACTGATTTGTTACATCCTGCTATATCGTAAGGAGCCGTAAGCAAACAAAATGTTCTGCCACACAGACATGGGTAGATTGAGGTTATCGCCCCACCGTCATGAATGCTGGTCAGATACACCACCCTCCCTCCTTTTGTGATGTTAGGCTCTCTTACGTTTAATGGTTGATTGTAAATAATGGTCTCTAGTCTACTCTCAATTTTTTTTTGTACACCTTATCGGAATTAACATTCTCTACTAGCTCCAACATTACAAGCAATCCAGACAACTTTGCCAGATAATATATCCACATAGCATATCACACTGATTTTAAGTAAACGAATGGTATAATTTGTAAGATGAGTCAGTTAATGGGTAGTTTGGAAATAGGAAGGACAGGGAGCTGGAACGAGGAGAAAGTGAAAAAAAAGAGTTGAAATAATGTTAAAAATTAATGAGTAAAGCGATAAGTTGGTAAGCAGGCAAGGTGTTTGCATGTTAATGAATTGGGGAAATAAAAATTAGTTAAACTGTTAGTACTTAAATAAGAAGATACTCACAATGATACACGGTGTTTGAGTTCCTTGTAATTGACAGTAGTTGAACAGCATCTACAGGCTTTTCAATTTGTCTGTCTACTAGAAATAAAAACTAAAACTGCTTTGAAGATATGAAAATAATAATCGGAATTTAAATTCAGAGAAAAGTCACGGGTAACACTTCAAAGGCGTAACCTATTACTGTTAGTAGGAGCAATGGGAACTGGTCTATCATTTCATGATACATGTATGGGTGGTAATGAGAACACAATGTGTTCATAGTCTATAATTCGTTTCCGAGGTTCATCTAAATATTTGGTGGACCATAAAAGAGTGCCTGGGGACTTTGTGTGAGTTCCGGGAATAGTCGATATATCTCTTTAGAGTCTAGCAACAGCATGACTAGTTTCTTGAACTTAGTGATTGTGTCACAGATACGGATAGTAATTGGTAACCTGTTCCACAGTAGACTGTATCGTATTACAAAGAAATTACAACGCAATAATTTCTTGTGTTTTGCCGTTAATAGTGTATATGCGTTGTTTCTAAGTCTGTAAGCAGTGTCGTGGTTCATAGTTGGGCGGTATTTTACGAACGAAAGACCATTTATTAGTTTATAGAGGAGCATTAGGTTGTTTTTGAGACGACGGCGCCATAGAGGTTCTAGGGAAAGATGCTTGCATCTTTCTGTGTAGTCGAGGTTATGGCTCAATCCGAGCAGTCGCCGGGTGAAGCTTCTTTGTACATTTTCTACTCGCATTTTGTCCATGATATTCATGTTTGAAAATATGAGTGAACAATATTCAAGTGTGGGCCTTATACAGATTTTGAAGAGAGTAAGCTTAGCCTCACTTGTGAAGAAGTTCTTGTTTATGAACCCAATTAGTCGTCTAGATTTAGAGATAATATTTGAGGCATGTTCTTCGAATTTTAGGCTTTTAGAGTAACTAATACCAAGGTCACGCGCTGATATGAGTGTCTGAACTCTACATTTTTGTAAGTAGAGTGGTGTATCAAGGTGACGCTTGCTAAAATGCATTATGGCACATTTGTTGTGGTTAAACGGCAGTTGCCATGTCTCGCTCCAGGTACTTAAGTTATCAAGATCACTCTGAATCTTAGCTATATTTTCGTCCAGATCTTCAGGCTTATAGCTGTATACTATTTTCAGATCATCAGCATATAAGTATGCTCTTCCAAATTTAATAGTATTACATATGTCATTTATGTACATTAGAAACAAGAGTGGACCTAAGACACTTCCCTGGATAACCCCACTGGTTATTGGTCTTGGTGATGAAAGACATTCGTTGTAGTTAACCATTTGTTGTCGCCCATTTAGAAATGAAGCTAACCATGAGTGTAGTGGGTTGATGATTCCAAATGACTTCAGTTTAAGTAGAAGCCTTTTGTGTGGGACTTTATCAAAAGCCTTTTTAAAATCGAAGAAAAGGACTGATACCAGAAGCCCTTTGTCTTGTTCATTCGTGATATCGTTGAAATAATCTAAAAGACATGTATCACACGACCTGGACCTCAAGAACCCATGCTGTGAGGTCGATATCAGATTGTTACTAACTAGGTCATGGACAAAATGCGAGTAGAAAATGTACAAAGAAGCTTCACCCGGCGACTGCTCGGATTGAGCCATAACCTCGACTACACAGAAAGATGCAAGCATCTTTCC